TTACTAAACGAATATCGGCCGGCCCCCCCCCCGCCGCAAACGTGCTCCCCCGGTACAGCTTGTGCTCCGTCCCTCTATTCCTTAGTCCGTGTTATAGGGTCTCTACAAGGTAGCGGCCCGACCCGCAGTCTGTCTCGGGCACGCTACACTAATATGGCCCGGCTGACCACATTTAAAACACGTAAGTCTGGCCTGGCGACAGTCCCTCGCTTTGTGTCCAGTTCTTTTACATACGTTGCACGACCTTATGGGCGCATCCGATGTAACTCTGCCCGAAGGAGCACCTCTCAAACCATAGCCCGAAAATTGTCTCTTTACAATACTATCCTCCGTGATTGTTCTGATATGGTCGATAAAGTCAGGCACCGATCTTATCCACGTGCCCAGCACTTGACGTCTCAAAGCAGATTCGCGAATTCCATCGGTTAGCAACTCGATCTGCTCTCTTTCTGATAAAGCTAATAATTGCATCAAACGCAACTTATCCTCTGCGTAATCTACAAAGCGCTCGGAATGTGACCTCCAAAAACATCTGTTAATGCGTGCAAGTGTTACCGTGTACAACTCGCGTCGATCAAAATAGCGGCATATCTCCCTTCTAAAATCCTCCTACGTTGAAACCGTCAATAGACTGTCGATGATACCAGTTCAGAGCTTTGTCCTTTAATTGTCCCTCCGCAACAATAACTAAAGACTCGTCGGCAATGTTATACAGTCTCGCAATCAATGCAATCCGCTCCGTCCACTTTCTTACGTTTTCGTCTTCATTTCCTGCAAAGGCAGGGATCGCATTTCTAGCAAATTTTACCTGCTTCCAGTCGTGTATCGAACTTGACAAGGAATCGCGCGAAGCGACCGTTACTCGATCCGAATTATGCCTCGAGATATTGTTCCCGGGTATTTCTCTTGTTCGTCTAGCCTCCTCATATGATTGAATAGTCGCCCGCCCGAATCCTGGATTTCCATCCCGTCTCTCACTCTCGATGCCGCGGCGTCGTCCCTTATCGACGCCGATTCGCCCCCGCGTCACCTGTCCCGCTTGACCCTCTTGCGATTCCAAAAAAAAGGGGAGGGCCCCGCCAGTCTACCGATGCTGTGGTCTCCTCCAGAGATTGACTCGGGGCCGTCGCACGCATTTGGCTCGGCCAGCCAGCGCGATCAAAATGCGTAGTGAGTCTTTTTATTAGTGCGGCCTTGACACCAGCCGACTCCAAAGAATTAGAACGTGCCAGCTCACGCAGCCCCTTCAGCGTCAATCTATCTAATTGCACTTTACTTATCTTCCTATGTCAGTTCTTCGATCTCGTCACACAGAGCGAATCAATCAATAAATCACGCACCGCAGAAACTCTTTCTCTAGCTACTCCAAAAGAATCAAACGATATCACTCGCGCACGTCTGATCCGTTACACCTCGCTCGCAGTTTCACAGATATACAAACAAGGTCAGGAGAATAAAGAAATATCATACACAAAAGCAATCTGTCCGCTAAAAGTTCAACACACACAAACGTCACCATCCAACGTATCGCTCATGCGCAAACCGATTATTGCTACGCCGTAATACCTTATATTATTTCAATAGCGAAATTTATCATTTTCCACGGTTCGAATCCCACTTCTGAATTTTTCTGTAAGCTTTGCGTATCTTTAACGTTGTAAAAATTACGTCAGAGAGGTCGTTAAAATTAGACTCATGAAGGTAATTAAGGATAGAAGAGCTGGCTGTGATTGTAGAGTTAAATAATGCCCTTGAATATTAGAAGTAACTGTTCAGATCTTTTTCTTTATTTCTCTTTACTCAATCAAAAGTCTGACGAAAGCTGATCTCGCGAATAGTTCATGTCTTCAAGGAATACGAAATATAAAAGAGGTTCACACTTAGCTCATAGTCAGGCAGTAACCGGCTCCTTTCCTTGCGATTATTTTTATGGTTTCTCTTTCCAAATCTCCGTGTCTACATTTCTTTAATCGTTTCGCTAATCTTCTTCACTTTTCCTTTTCTTTCTCTCCTTGTCTTCGTCCTTTCCTTTCTCTTACACGCGCTCTCCTTTCTCTCTTAACTTTCGCAAGGCAAAATGCCTCGAGAAACCGTTGTCCAGCTCTTTTGTTGTCCTCTCCTCTCTTCCCTCCAAAGGGCTCTCTCGCCATTCGACCAATCAGCTCTCGCCAGCAATTCTTACAAGATTTAGTGCCCTCTTATACAATAAATAATACTCGCTATTACCAATATCGACCGAGACTTATTTATCTTGTGAGTTTGTTATAATATTATTTCGTGAATTTCTTACATTTATTTATGTTAGATAGATTAATTTTGTTTTATTGTGTTAATAATTGTATTTTTAATTGTGTTTTCTTATATTTTAGGAAATTCTGTTGCCCTCGTACACGTGTGGTGTGTGCAAAACTATTTGTACTGAACAAGAAATACATTGTCATTCTTGTTTGGAGGGATATGACAAATGCTATATAGATGAGAATTTATATTTTTATCCTCGAACCGGTGAACATTAGTAACATTTTTTCATTATTACATATTTTATAAGTAACATTACAAAAGTAACATGGATGCTTTAATGTATAGAAGACAGACATATAATACGCAAAAGTTTAATAGACGGTGAGGAGGTGATCGTAACAGACACCACCCAGGTTTCAAACCAAGATGCCAAGAGCAATTGGCGAAATAGTAAAATTTTGGAAGAGGAACAGCTCATCGAAGAAGTACATAAACGTCCCCCGCTGTGGAATTTCAAGCTTCCTCCTTCTGAACGATCTATGCAAGCCAAAAAAAAGCTGTGGGAAGAGATAAAAACAGCGATGAATGGTAATATTCTCATAATTTAAGTGGGATAAGATTTATAGAGAGTCATTAAACATATTTTTTTATTTTTTCTAGATACAATGGACATTGCGACTATGAAGAAAAAATGGAAGTCGTTGTCCGATACTTATAGAACGTATAAAAATAAGCAGCAGAAACCAAGCGGTTCAGTAGGGACCTCACAAAAGAAATGGGTGCACTTTGAACAAATGAAGTTTCTTAGCGATATGCAGCTCGAAACCGAGTACGTACAATATTTATGAAATAACGAGCGTACAAAAATGCAATTAAGTGCAGTAGCATATATTATTTGTTTATATTCATTGCATGTAAATTTAAACTATGTTACAGAACTGTAACCAATATCGCGACATTTCTCAGCGAAGAGTTTAATGATACTATTATGACTTTTGATGAATGCAGCAGCAGTGGTCGTGGATCACGTATGTTAATTTATTAATTTTTTCTTATGAAAGGTATTGAAGGAAAATGGAAAATTTAAATTAATATTTGTGAAATTATATTTTTTAATAAAGTTTAAAATTTTTTACCTTTTGTTTTCAATTTTTCGCAATTCTATTAAATGTACAAATGTAATTAAAATAAAAATACAAAAAATACGATATCTCTAAATGCTTACTGTAGGTAATTACAAACGTAGCTGCAGTAGCAGAGATGATAGCGAAGATGGTTCCAATTTTGACCGATTAATTGATGCTATAAATTAACCAATTAGCGTACCACCGTTTGTGCCCCCTCCGCCACCACCCTCTGACAAAGCAGCTTTGTATGGTAACCTTGTTGCTACTCAATTACGAGAAATCAATCCTCAGGTTATGGACGACATAATGCTGCAAGTGATGCAATTGTTTAATAATGCTAAGAAAAAAAATCCTAATTAAATCGCCGCCATTTATTTCCTCTACCGATTAACAAAGCAGCTTTATTTAGTGCTAATATTAAATGAGTATTACAGAACTTATATACAGTATTATATACAGTATTAAAGAATAAAGTTTATAATATATACGCGTTTATAATATAATATATAGTTTACGATATTTATGAAAACTTTTTATATATTATATATGAAATTCTTTTATATATCATATATGAAATATATGATATATAAAAGAATTTATGATATATGAAAACTTAATATTTTTTATAGAAAAAGGTTTTTTGTAATAAAAATTATTTGTAATAAAAATGTTTATTTATATTTCTCTTAGTATTTTATCTATTATATTCTTAAGAAATAATATAAATTTAAACATCATAATAAAAGTATTATACGTCGATTGCATTCGCTATACAGCGGATACCTTGTCAATAAACAAAACAGAAATAAAATCAGTCTCTAACACATTCTTAAGAAATAATACAAGGTTAAACACCATAGTATTTTATCTATTATATACAAATTACATTATCAAAATCATTTTAAAAAATTTTATTTAGTTTGATTATGTTGCCACGGTACTGCTCCCTCGTTATTAAAATAATGGCAAAATTTATTTCAAATTTCTATATTTTCTTTTGAACTCGTGTTTGATCCGCAGTTTGAGATTTCCCTGAAAGCACATCCATCTTCCATGATAGTTTGCCACGACCCTGGTTTAAAGCTATTTCGATAATGTGGATCATCGACATCGACCACAGATGGAGGAACATATATGTTTATATCATTGTCCTGTTGACGAAGCCAATTATGGAGACAAACAGTTACCTAAACCATTAGCTTTGCATTCTCAGGACTGGCGATAATTGGTTTTCTATATATTCTCCATTGACTGGCGATTATACCAAATGTGTTTTCTATTATTCGTCTTGCATGACTCAAACGATAATTGTATATATCTTGTTCTGGTGTAAGTCTACCTCTTCCCGGATACGGACGAAGTAAATACGATTTTAGAGGAAAGGTTTCGTCTCCTACAAGACAATAAGGTAAAATAGGTCCTCCTTCCCTAATCGCTGCTGATTGTGGGATATTCATTCGACCTTCATTAAACGCTTTTCCGAAAGCACTGTCCTTAAAAATACCGCCATCACTTCTTCGGCCATAAGCCCCAATATCCACAAAACGAATAATGTAATTTGCGTCGCAGATGGCCATGAGTACTATACTGTGAATATTTTTATAATTAAAAAACGCTGATCCAGCATTATTGGGACACTAAAAATTAGAAGGATTATTTGTAATTGTACTTCTTTTTAAGTTACATATTATATACTAACAATAAATTTACACACTTGAATAATAACGTGCTTGCCATCTATGGCTCCAATACAATGAATAAAATTCCATTTTTCATTAAAATCATTGGCGATATCCAACCAGTCTTTTTCTTCAAGCTGGCTTGGAAGAACCAAAGAGCACAAATAATCCCAAATTGCTTTGCACGTTTCATGTATTATAGTGTTCACTGTTTTCACTCCCACAAGATATTGAAAGGATATTGATGTCATCGAATCTCCGGAAGCAAGATATCTATAATATTTTATATAATAATATTCACATATATATGCATTAAGTAAAAATGTATAATATTAGGTTTGTTCGTGTCGCATGCTCCAATAACATACTTCTACTCACTCTAACGTGTTCTAAGGGAGAATTCATACCAAGATGATTTCTGTCAAGATGTGAATTCTCCCTAATACGTTTACCGCAAACAAATCTATTGTTTCATATATACACGAAAAAAATAGTAAGTTAAACAATTTAATTTAGCTAAGCCAAACACACCTCAGGGTCAATGCCAATCGTTCTGATAGTGAAATAGATTGTCGAATAAAGTCCTGCTTCTGCAATTTGCCTCCGATCATTCCTAATAATTCCTCTAATTGAGTTGCAGTCATTCGGAAGTAATTGTGGAATCGTATGTCCTCCAATATCAATTTCGGAATCGATGCAAAAAAGAAACTATGTACATTACGACTTTCGAAAATCGGAGCTACCCAAAACCTTTTTTTCTTATGTTTTCTTTTTTTTTTAACAAATACATTGCAGCAACTGCAGCAGCTATACGTCGTCTTCTAATTTCAGCTATAACCGCCACTGTATGTCTATAATATTTTACGTACTCGATGTATTGATTATAATAATCCAATTGCATTTCTATACTTTTATTGCGGTTATAGTCAAGTTATGTACTCAGCAATAGTCGCTTTTTAACGCTGCTTTATGTTGTAGTGGAGTGCAGGTAAAACGCCAGCTTTTATTTGCTCTGTAAGATATTTATACGGCCGACCGACAGACGGCGCCCATAAGGCACCAGGCGATTCATCGAATCGCAATACATCGATTCTCGAGTAATCGAAGTATCTAATCGATCCATGCGCGCGCTACCGGATCCGCCGAAGGTTCTACAACGTTCTGGAATCTTCCGGATCCGCAAGATTATCCGGAGCGAAATCCGGAGAGACACTCTGTACAGAACCGGCATTAAGATCAGTTGCGTTTTCTAGTCGAATAAGAGTCGTCGAATAAGCCGTGGATTTAGTTCTAGTTGAATCGAGCCATCCAACAGTATTTCGTGTATTAAGAGGATGCTGAAGTGACGGGCGAACTCCGACGCGAAAGCGCCATCATTTTGATGGTACTAAAAATGAAATGACATTATCGACGCAGCCTACGGACCTATGCCGCGTAGGTCGTAATAACTTCGTATAGCAT